GTCTTTTTTTCTAAACTTTCTTTAGAGAACATATTTGACCTCTAATTCTTCTATAAACTTAATACATTTTGGGAAAAGTCTGATTTATATATGTCTTTGGACATATAGGTCTTTGGAAGGAAAATAATCATATATATTTACTAACTAATTACTAATGAGTATTATCAATCTTAAACATTTTTAAGAAGGTAATTCTACAAATTCTGGGCATTGTAAAATTGTTATAAAACTATGGCATTTGGAGACATTGTCCTTTAGCTTTCCAGAACTTTAAAAATCATTTTTTTTATACTCTGGTTTCTCTTCAGATCGCATAAATCTTTCGTCTTTTAAAAATCATTTTATTAATATATGTCAACAGACCGTCTATGTCAGCAAACCAAAAACAATACTAACTTCCAATAGCCAAAATTGTGAGCCCAATTTAAATGCTTTCTATAAATACTTTAATCTACGAGTTAAGGAGCTCTGGATGTAAATACAACTGTAATAAAATTTAACTTTTTCTTATTTATATTTAATGACAATGGAGAGTAAGATTTGTGCAAGTGCTTGTGTATTAAGTGCCTATTTTGTCAGTAATATATTTGTGGCACTTACAAATCAGACTCCTTGTTTTGAATTTTGTTTTACTACCACTATAAGTCTGACTGTTGCTTTTATTGTTTTAAATCATTTATCAATACGTTAGGTACACACATTTTGAAATATGTGCCTTTTTGTAGTACTAGATATTTTAGCAATACTGGGCTTTCTAGTCTCTTTGGTAATAACTCATTTATAAATGGCTAGATGAAATGGTTGTTTAGCTATTTCACATGTGATAATCTTTTTCTCCTTAGGTATATGCCCTACATTTTCCTCAATTATTGATCTCGTCTAATAATATTATCAGCATTTCAGATGACATGTAGTTTTTTTTTTTTCATTTCTTATTTATTTACATTCTCTGTCCTTGAGTTGCCTTTACATATTTATATAGAGTGTAATAGTACTACTGCTCATATACTTTACATTTATCACTGGGATTATAATCTTATTTTAGGTAATTAATAGCTCACATTCAAATTTCCTTTTGGACATTAATAAATCAAGAAGAATATAATGTTGGCACCACTTTACAGAACATAAGGATTTCTTACATATAATTTTAAAGAAATATTTGTATTTCTACTTTCATTCCTCTTTTTACATCTAAACTACAAATTTAGTTTATGGCCAGTATTATCACGTTTCCCTTTTTAATATGGAATAATTGCAGGTAAGTTTCTGGATGGATTCTTTTTATTTGCTCATGAGTTACCTGAACTTGAGTTTGATTTTCCCATGTTCAGGTAATTGGTGAGGTAAATGCTACAACACAGAAAAGCTCTTAAACTAAATAGATATGGCAAACAAGAAGCAAATGCCAGTAAGTTAGGGGTATAAAGACTACGAGAGCATTAAAAATGTCACATATATATGTGTTTGTGTAGCAGGGCATAAAACACAAATATTAACATTTCTTAATAAGAACCTCTGTAGCCACAATATTTGGCATAAAATTCCAGTTGACAAATGATGAAGCATTCCTGTGTCTCCAAGCACAGAAACTAAATATGACAGTTTGGAGTCCCCTAAAGTGTTTTTTTATGTACATATATTATCATCGTTAGGACAAATATGTTTGGGGAATATAAAAATAAATCTATTCATTTCACAGCTTTTTTCTTACCCATTGAAGCCTCAGCTTCATTGTGGTGGTTTCAGCTATGACTAAAGAACCCGGGGGATGCAATCGCTGCAGGAGAACCCCCAGTTCCCGAGAAAGTCTGAGTGGTGGCACCTTAAGGCCTTCATGAGCGTAGACCCTGATATAATAAAAAGATCTTGTAAAGTGCAGGTTCATTAGCTGGGTTTCATAGCAGGCACATTTAGCCCCATATAGTGTTTTAAAATTCATTTCCATTAATGCAAGTAATTCCCAGCTGTTAAAAACGGAAAGGTTTTACCTACAAGGCTCATTATCTCCGCCCGTTGAAAAAAATCAGAAGCTCCACCAAGACTGGGCCCATATTTCAAAAGGCAGCAGTCTCCTGGCTGAGCCTCACCAGCTCCTTCAGGTGGGCAGGCGCTCTTTGCTCTCCATTGACTTCAGGCCCCAGGTAGCCTCTGCCCTCATTCATCTCAGTGATCTGTCTGACACCTCTAGGCAATCTTGTTTCTACCACAAGTGCAAAACCCACTAACTGAAATTACCCTCCAAAATTATTTCAAAGGAAGGAGATGGTGGGAGCCAAGGAGGAGTTCCCCTTAAATATTAGTGTCTGAGACTTTCCATTAAATCCTCTGGCCACTACTTACATTGCTTAAGAATAAAATAGACAGTACACCCTCTGAGACTGACATGCATATTTGATCCATTATTCAGAAGGAGTGGGCTCCTAATAGAACCAAACAGAATTAGAGAATCAGAGGAAATTTGTGTCACTAACCAAGGATAAAACATTGAGACCTACTGGGAATTTGTTCAAGACAAATTAAAAGCAAGAAAATAAACAGTTTAAGTAAGAAAAACTTAATTAGATTTCTAAGATGTTTTCAATCAATGTCACCTAATTTATTTTTAGAATTTGGCAGGGAGGAAATAAGTAACAAGCAGTTACGATCCTGAGAGCAGCCCTTTAATACTGTCTATGTTTTAAATTTTTGCCAACACTCTATTTTGGTTTGGTTTAAATCAGTTATCACAGGCTTTCTTTTTTCCCAGATTTGTGGAAGTTTAGAGAAAGAAAAAAGGGGAGAAAACTAAAGAAAAAGAAGTGATTGCACACATGTGTGTGTGATGAGTGTGTGTGTGATGTGTGTGTTTTACATGTGTGTGTGATATGTGTGTGTGTGATGTGTGTGTGTGTGATGTGTGTGTGTGTGATGTGTGTGTGTGTGTGATGTGTGTGTGTGTGATGTGTGTGTGTGTGATGTGTGTGTGTGTGATGTATGTGTATGATGTGTGTGTGTGTAGTTTTAGGCTGAGAAACCCTCTCATTACCTGAGTGTTAGAATCCAACCATCATTTCCCCACCTGCCTGATAGCTCTTGGTGTTCATTGTTGCTGCTGCCAGTGCTTTTGATATTTATGTTAGAAGCAATACATTTGCTATTTGTTTTGTCCTTTGCCTATTTGTTTTTTATTTCCCTCTGTTTCTCCTTCTCTTTCTCTGGATCTTTTATCTTCTTTTGTCTCCACCTCTCAGTGTGAATGACTGTGCTCGGTCACCCTCTGGGCAGATACTTTAAAAAAAAAGAAGAAGATATGCTGTTATCCTGTTCAGAAAGTACATTCCTGGAGGCATTAAATTAATGAGTGTCTCAAGGCCTGTGATATAAAAAGGGAGAGAAGATGATAAATGCAATTGGAAATATGAAGCACTGATTATTGGTGGCCTTAAGCATCAGTCCAAACATGAATGTGTGTGGTTGCTTGCACACACACTCAGAAACACACACACGCACGCACGCACACAGACTCACAGGTTCACAGAGCAGACAGTGGAGTAAAATGATAGAGATCCTAGAAACCATTTTGCTATATCCCCCTCTTTTTAAACAGAAGGCAGTTTTTAAACCATACTACAGACAGACGATTAAAGAAGAAAAAGAAAGTAATACACTTTGTTTTACCAAAGACCTTCTTTCTTATGAAAATGGTTTGAGTATTTAAGAAATTGATTCTATACATCATTTTACAAATTACATTATTTTATATGTTTTTGGATGTTTGTGCTCATTTGCCAAAAAATGCTTTAGATGTTCTTTTCCCCTCTGGTGTGAAGTATATGTCATTCTTAATTTTAATTAAATATACACTGAATTTTCATGTGAATTTGTAGAAACATGGACATCTCTCTAGCTGTCACACTTTGAAACACACCACAGTGTCAGAGCCACAGTTAATCACAATTGTTAATGGCCATCAGAGCATGAGTGCCAGCCAATCAGAGCAGACGCTGGCCAAGAACAATGTAAGGTTAGGTGTGCTAGTGATGCCCTGAAGTGCAGTTAGCCTTGTGCATAATAGATGGACGATCTGATGGGAATCAGGGGACTAATTAGTCCAGGACTAATCCTGGACATCGGGATTAGTAAACTTATTCTAACACTTGAGTAAGGTGTTTTCAACTGTATAGATGTCCCACTCATTATTATATCTGATATATAGCTCTCTCAAATTGTCTATTGCATGGGTTACATGACTAAGAAAGCATTATAGAAAACCTCTCTTAAATTACTCTGTTTCTGATAATAAGTGTGTTCTACAAACTTTTACATTTGTGTAGTAATTTAGCTCCTTCTCATTATGGACAATATTAAGTTTATATTAGGTCTAGTGTATTATGTTATTTGAAGTCCTTTAGGAATTAGAAGCAATTATTTGTAAGTGATAGCTTTTTATCTCTTTTTTTAAAATATCTTTTCTTAAAATGTAGGTTGGTAAGAAAATAAATGCTAAGTGATTCTGGTTGCCTATAGGTTTGTTAATGTAGTGAAGGTGGAATTTTATAAACCTAATTGAAAATAGCTTTGAAAGCTAAATGCAGTGCTAGAGAATAAATGCCCATTTACTTGCAAAACAGCAATAACTTTTATGTATTTAGCACCCGTTATGATTTAGGCAATATTTATTGCAAGTGCTTTATATATAAATCATCTCAGGGATCACGTGCAACACTATTATGAAGTAAGTAATTGTATTATTTGTAAAATTGAATTCAGAGACTAATATATTCTGCGTCTGGTATAGATATTATACCACTGAAGAACAAGGACAGTATTCACAATATTGTTTGTGTTCCTTGAAGGAGGAAAATGACCTTTCTGTACACAAGTTTACCTGGACGTTGTAAGGGACCTAGCACCCCATTAGGTGGAGACCTTTTGAAGGTTTAAGCAAATGCACTAAAGAAAGAACTAATGACTGTTGATGCTGATGGTTACCTCAACCCTTTGCCTCCTGTTTTCAGTACCAGGGCAACCGCTAAATTTCAAAGCAGAACCTGAGTCTGAAACGAGTATTTTGCTCTCTTGGACACCTCCACGTTCGGACACTATCGCCAACTATGAGCTGGTCTACAAAGACGGGGAGCCCGGAGAGGAGGTAGGACCTTGCTTCTCTCCTTTGGAGGCATTACTCCGCTTTTGAATGCTTACCCACGTCCTGTAAAAAAGGTCAGGTACCTATAGAGGACCTTGGTAGAAGAGATTTATGCATCAAAATAGACACTTGACCAAAAAAAATAGCAAGGGTATTTGGAGACTTGCTGGGGGGAGGGGCAAAACAAAACAGCTGTTGCCCTGTTGGGACTGTTTTCTACTCAAGTTTCCATGTTATTTATGGAAGTATGAAGTTATAAAAGAATATAACCCATGAGACTTTGGGACTTGCTTTTTTTTCTCTTCGGCATTAAAGTTCTTAAGTCACTTAAGGAGACATATAATTAAATAAGTCCCACAGCTTTGAGTAGGTGAATTTGTTCAAACTGCTTTTAGAGAAAGATGCCCCAAAGCAACTATTTTTATGCCATAAATTATGATTTGAAAGTGGGTATATATACAGCTTGAGAATGGTATGCAAAGAAAATAACAGTAGATTGTAGAAAGTTGGTTATTGTTGATAGTCACTGAAAAGAGAAACAAAAATCAGAATAACTAATACATATATTAACAGGCAGTGTTTAAGGGGTTTCACATATATTAACTTATTTAATCCTCACAACAGTGCTATGGATCAGCCTCTCCTATTAATCTATTTCACATATCACAAAATGGAGGTATAGGACGCAGTTAAATACTTATCCCGAGGGCTCATGCTACTGAATGGCAGAAATAGAATTTGAATCTAGGCACTCAGTTATCAGAATGTTTCTTAACCACTAGGTTATACTGTATCTTGGGTGCACTTTGAATAGATTATAGAAATCAGTTATTAAGATACACCTAACATTTCCAGAAAGGGAATATATTATAGTAATGGATATGTGTCTTTCGTTAATGTAAATTCCAACAGGGAACATTTAGACAAAATGTTAGTAAAACTATATGAAAGCTCAATCCACATGAGCCCTTTTATTTTAACTCTTAGCATTCTTTATCTTCACAAAGCTAAACAGCCCCTAAGATCTAACAAGGAATACCGGTTTTGAAACACTCACGTACTAAGTGAACTACTATCAATTCACTTGTTGGTCACCATGTTGTATGCTATAATAAATTATTTTTTACTGTAAACTTCTATTTTATGACATCCGTTTGAATTGAGCAGAGACTCCACTGACCAGGTTATAAATGCAATGCCTTTAGATGTAGCTAACAAAGCCAAAATGAATCAGTCACTTGAAAAGTTCTGTTATTTATATGCTGATATAACTTAAAATACTCATAACTGTGTATGTGTTTAATAAGATATAAACCAGCATTAAATTATTTAAAATCGTAACCACTCCTCAACCAAGGAATAGTGTAAAAACAGCAGAGAATGTGGCCGTTTTTTGAATCTATGATGCTTGAATGTTGGCACACGGACTCCGCTTTAGAATTGTTTATTTAGGGAATACCTTTTTCCTTGTTATTTGGTATATCTAAAATTTTAAAAGCTTTTGTATTTGCAAGCCAGAACGCCCTAGGGATGTTTTCTCTGGTTTTATATTTGAATTTCTCTTGAATGGTTTCTGTTTGGGTGAACAGCAAACAGTATTTTATAAAAAGCCTAAGATTATTTATGCCATATTAGATTACATTTTAGAATGTATTTTAAGGTTTACTACAGGCTAATGTTCAATCTGAGATTGATTACCCATAGACAGGTATATTTTTGCTAAAATGCACAGGCAAATTTCAAGCATGAATAGAAACTATAACTTTTTTTTTTTAATCCTCACCCATCGATATTTTTCCATTGATTTTTTTTAGAGATAGTGTAGGGGAAGGAGGTGGGGGAGAGGATAGAGAGATAAATATCGATGTGAGAGAGTCCTTGGTTGCCTCCTTCACATGCCCCGACTGAGGCTGGGGATAAAGCCTGCAACTGAGGTACGTGCCCTTGACCAGCAATCAAATCTGTGTCCGTGGGCCCACGCTCTAACCATGAAGCCAAATCAGCCAGGGCAGAAATTATAACATTTGATTAAAGAAATCGTATTGCAGAAGTCCTTTATGATGTTAAAAGTTACAGATTTTTTTTTCTAGCTGCAGACTCTAAATTCCCAAAAGAAAGGAAGTTTCATTATTTTAAAGCAATCTAGATTTCATATAAATGATCCAGCTTTCTTTAATAACATCTGATGTTTATCTCATCAGACCTTGGCAATTTTAGTTCTCTTTTATAGCAATCTCTGGAAAACTGTGTACCAGTTTCTGTTGTTACTTCTTGGCCATACATTCTTTGCCCTGTTTAGAGTGCAGAAGGTCATGGCATATGAGCTAGACATCTCTTCAATGGTAATCACACATGTTGGGCGTACTGCGCTCCCAGTTTCTATTATGGGCTAAGTCACAGCTACACACCTACCTGCCTTAAGGGTAGAACACATCGTGGGTGACAGCTTCTGGGTCTCCCCTTTATCCGGTGCATTTGGAAAGCTGTATCATCATTGGGAAGATCCCTGGCTTACCCTTATTCCAGTTGCCTTATTGGTTGTAGAAACTTGCCTTTTAAATGCTGATATTTTCGTTACTTAATTTCCCTAGTAGAGTCCTTGATACCCTGCTGCTTCTGTGTCTTGCCCCAATCTTAATGAAGATGACTAAATTATGTTATTACTTATCTACAGCAACGAATTACCATTGAGCCAGGGACGTCTTATAGACTGCAAGGGCTGAAACCAAACAGCTTGTACTACTTCCGTCTGGCTGCACGCTCTCCTCAAGGCTTGGGTGCTTCCACAGCTGAAATATCAGCTAGAACCATGCAGTCAAGTAGGTGTCTCTCTTTACTTACTTCCTCCCCTTTTTTTTTCACTAGGAGGTGTTGCGGGATTTTATCCCCACCAGCAAACAGCTGCTAATTAATATGCTTACTAGTCAGCAGTCTCTATGCTAGCAAGCTTCCAACTTTGGGGAGTAGAGTACAACCTTGAGCTATGTTGTTTTCAAATTTGGTCCAAAATAGCAGGTCCTAAACTGAAAGACCTTCAGAGAAATTGAGAGATGAGAAAAGTGGGTGAGAGGAGTTGGATCAAGTCCCATATTATGCATATAACACTGCATAATAATCAGAGGAAGGCTTAGCAAACGCAAGAGGCAGCCAAAAGACCAAAGTGTTACCTTTTTTTAAGCACACCGGTTTTAACTTTGCTAGCAAATAACTCTTCATTTCACGTATTTGTTCCTACTCAGAGAAAAAGCTGAGCTCTTGTGACTAGGTTGTCATTAACTCTGCTAGTAGTACATGCGAAAATTTGGAACATTCACAGCAAATCTGTATCTGGACAAATTTAGGAACAATGGAATAATCACAAGTACATTTGCAATCCTAAATTCTATTTTGTTTCTTCAGGTTCAATTTCTTTTTGGAACTGTTACTTTGAGAATAGTTGTGTTTATCACAGTGGGGGTTCATTGCATCCTGGGCAGATTGTTAAGATTGTTTTTTTGCAAAGTCTTATATGGGAGATTGTTTTTCATGGAAAGTTTGGTGGCTTAGAATACTATTTGCTCCTTATTGATAAGTTTCTATAATTAGTTATTAACCATTTACCTTGAGTTGAATAGTTTTATAGAGTTATTTCTTAGATTTTTTGATAATTTATGTGATTTTGATATAGTGACATGCAATAGATAAGAATAATACAAATGTATTACATTTTGTAAAGAGGGTGCTATATTGACTTAATTTTTAGATCCATCACCAAACATAAAATTTATGTATTTTAAAATATAAATTTTCTTTCATATAAGCACATCTTTCATATTTCATTCTTTTATAGAAATCTGGCATCTTTCAGGTTTTTTTATAGTAAAAATCATATTCTTCCCTTTTCAAAACATCATAATTCATAGGAAAAGTATTAGGAGCCTGTGCTTAACTGATTAGTGGTTATACCTTATTCCCATATAATTGTCTTTCTCTTCAAATCTGAAGCATGTTAATGCAGTTTAGTATGTCTGCTTTGAATTCCAGCCAGGCTAATAAGTAATATAGTAGAAGACAATTTTTTAAATCAGATATTTAATTAAAAGGAATGTGACCGTGCTCTAAGATTGTATTTTACAAATGACTTTTTTGCATACATACATACATATGTACTTACATAGGTACAGAACAGACTTTTTTGATAACTATACAAAAAGCTTATATTTTCTTCATTAAAAATAATAGCTTCAAATGGTATTGAATATAGTCAAAGAATAGAAGGTCTGAAGGTGGCAATGTCATGAAAACCAAATCAGCTTTTTAAAAAGAATTACAAATGAGACCTTGCTGTTACATGAATAACTCAATTTATTATGAATAATGATGATGCCTTTAAAATAGTGTTATAATTTGAAGTATAAGTTCCTATAGTCAGGATCAATAAAAATGATGTTCTAGTGATTTTACAAATCTTACTCCAAATTTACAAGCCTTTCAGTGAGGATTTTCTTTGTGTCAGTACAAGGAGCTTTCTTTCCCTTTGAATTATCTATAAAGAAAAATGCAGTACATGTAAAGGCTGATAATCCTCTAAATCAGTGGCTCTCAACCTTCCGGCCCTTTAAATACAGTTCCTCGTGTTGTGACCTGACCATAAAATTATTTTCGTTGCTACTTCATAACTGTAATGTTGCTACTGTTTTGAATCGTAATGTAAATATCTGATATGCAGGATGGTCTTAGGCGACCCTTGTGAAACGGTCATTTGACTGCCAAAGGGGTCGCGACCCACAGGTTGAGAACCGCAGCTCCAAATGGTTCAATAGACCTGGCACTACATAAGATTAAGACCCACAGTGTCAAACTACTGTTTATACATATTGAAATACAAACAGTTAGAAATGATTTACTCATTAATTGTACCATAGGTACTGCCTTAAAAATATGTATGTATGTATGCATGTCTTATCCCATTTGTTTGTTTTTTTTAGGGACATATGTTAATAACTTTAAAAATAATTTATGATAGCACCTGTATTGGTCCTTATTGCTTTTGAACTTTTTTCAAGTGATGGTATGTTTGATTAATGTCACGGAAAGTAATTGCTCAGAAGGTGACCAGTTTATCTTAAAATGGGCAATAAGAAAGTTTATCTTGTCACTCCTTTTGTCAACCCTACTTTATACGAATAATTATATAGAAAAATGAAAGGAATTAATGTACAAAATGAAAGATAAGTCATACCTTTTCCAGATGTTTCGTGGGTTTTTAAATGGTTCTTTTTAATGGCTGTGTTATTGACATTTTGTAAGAGATAGATGATGATTATTGATTTTACCAAAATTTGCTGGTGGAATCTAATTCTTCACTAGCAATGGTGTCTCACGAAGAGTTATAATTTTTTAAAAAGCTGAAAGCTGATGTAGGGTAAGTACAAGTTACAGTCAGAATCAACAAGCCTGACATTGCTCTCGGGTAGGTAAATCTTGAACTATGCCTTTTCCTCCTTTATTGGTTCTGCATGCTCACTGTACACGGGCTGTGATCAATGTTAGGTTAATGCTTTTCATTAAAACTGGTCAGGCACAATCAGTTTTTCAGATAGTCAGAGGGAACCCTTTTATGTTTGTTGGGTTTTTATTTCTTTCCTTTAAAAGTAATTGGAATTGTGGAAGGGAATCTAGTAGTTATTGCAGTTTTTCACACTAAATAAATAATGCTTTCATAAGTGAATGCTGTATTGGAATTGCCTTCATCCTAGAATGTCGAAATGAAAGCTTGAAACAGCATCTGTGAAGCCTCATCAAGATGCTCATTAATATATCTTGCAGTATTTGCAGCTTTTTTGAAGTTGGGTAGTCTGTGTAGTAGGGCCGGGGAATACTGAGGGATTGGTTTAGAAGAAGAATTTAAATTGCAGGTAGGTAATTTTATTGGAGGCTCTATTATCTCAAGGTTTCATGTTTACATATTCCCCCCACTCATTATTTTAACATTTGTTTCTGGTCATTTATTCATTTTTTTGGTTTGTTCATGTGACTAAGCCAAGGTACATAATTTATTTTTAAAAATTTATTTTAAGTTTCAAAGCCTTGTTTTTGTTTCATTGCCCTTAATGTTCGTTTATTTATTTGGCCTTTTCTTTTGTTTTATCATTTTTTTTTCCAACCACTCCTGTCCTTTCACTCAAACCCTCCTTTAACTCACTACCAAAATAAGAGCCGTCAGCTCCTCCTCAAGACGTTAGTTGTACCAGCCCAAGTTCCACTAGTATTTTGGTAAGTTGGCAACCTCCACCCGTGGAAAAGCAGAATGGCATTATTACTGAATACTCCATCAAGTACACCGCAGTGGATGGAGAAGATGACAAAGCTCACGAGATTTTGGGAATTCCTGCGGACACTACCAAATACCTTTTGGAACAGCTGGAAAAATGGACTGAGTACCGGATCACTGTGACAGCCCACACAGACGTCGGCCCTGGCCCCGAGAGCTTGTCCGTGTTGATTCGAACCGATGAAGATGGTATGTTGCCTCTGCTACGTCCGTTTGCTCCCTTCTGACACAGTCTGGGTCTGCTGTCTTTTGATAGGCTAACAGTACCCCATTTTTCTCTGCTCATCTTTTTTACCCAACATCGCTCTAACGTCACTTTTTGCCAAAGACCTGTCTTTCTTACAGCCTGGGCTTTTTTCTTTTTTTCTTTTGCTTTTAATCTGAACGCAATAATTTGCTTCCCTTTAAACGGACAGCTGGCTCCTATGACCTTGCAATCCAGGCTCTTCCTCTGTACCTCCATCTAACGTCTTCTGCATTTTCCTTGGCGCTTTTGTGGCCACGTTTTTGACATTTTGAAGTCAACTTTTAAAAACGGCCTTCTTGTCTTCTTGTTGCCTTTTTGTCTTGCATATTTCAGCAGCACTGATGCTCCACATTTAAGTTTTGGCATCTGTTGTATGGAATACCTTTGATATGAGAAAAAAAGAAGAAAATCCATGTAATCAAGAATCCTTTTTTTTTCTGCCAAAAAGAAACATTTAAAAAAAACACACACAGCAACCAACAACCAGTTTTTGTTATTATTTCAATGCTATACCTCTTTTGTGCTTTAATGCTTTGAACCTCAAAGCATCTTCCTTGGCTTTTGTACATTTTTTACATGTTTTTCTATTTCTCTGATACTCTTTTTTTCTTCCATACTTTTTTTTGGCATCGGTCATGTTTTTTGATCTTTTCTTAAAAGGTAGAGCAGATTGGTTGAGCATTTTCATTGGTTGAAAATGTCTGTATTCCACAAAGGAGACATAGTGGGTCTTGCCCATTTTTTAAAAAAGAAAAAAAAAAAAACTAAGTAATGAAAATGCTGTGACTGGGTGGGACAAGTGCCTGTAATTTTCTTTTATCCGATGATGTTGTTCCAGTTCCTAGTGGTCCTCCTCGCAAAGTCGAGGTAGAGGCTGTCAACTCAACATCTGTTAAAGTCACATGGCGCTCGCCCGTGCCCAACAAACAGCATGGCCAGATCAGAGGATACCAGGTGCATTATGTGAAGATGGAAAACGGGGAGCCCAAGGGCCAGCCCATGCTGAAGGACGTCATGCTGGCTGATGCACAGGTGAGGCTCTGGTTCTGGACCTGTGTCTCTCTATGGTCCTTTCCTTCATCTGTCTCTGGACATGGGCCCCATGTTGATTTTCTTTACGTTTTAAAAATCTCATACAGCATCCTGTATATAAGGGGCATACGCCTTCTCAATCAAAGTTGCCATCAAGTGAGAAAATAAATTGTAGTGAAATGACACATCTGATTAAAAACATGTTCACTGTTTTCTTCAAATGCAGGTACTCAGCTCTCCAGAGCTGTATCTGAGTTTGCCTTTCTGACCTCAAAATGCATTTAATCAAATCCAGGGGAAGAATTCTGAGAAGCAGTTTTGCTGATAGCATCTACTTTCTACTGTATTAAAACTACTTAGAATTAAGTTGACCTAATTTTTAAACATATGAGCTCTCCCGTTGAAGAACAGACAATCTTTTTCGGGAAAGGTATCCTGATAGTGTATTATTTATAACTTCTTTATTGAATTACATATTTGGTGAAAAGAATTGTTTCATTTCCCAGAAAATGAAGATAATGACCATGATAAAAATGAGAGTTTCCCAGGGAGTAAATGGGATCCTTACATTGAGCCAAGTTAGGAAAAGTATTACTTGAGTATGTGAGAAATTGATCCTAAGGAAGTTGTTTAACTATGTAGTCATAAATTGGTTTTGTAATCAGTTGTTTAAAACAGCATTAATTTATCCATAAGCTAGTGGTAACTCAAAGATAGTAACATAATACATCCATATGTCATTTTTTTTAAAAGGGAGAGGAAGATTTCAATGAATGACTACAATGATGGGAATTATACATACCCCATGGACTAGTCAGCAGTCGCCAACCTTTCGGACCTCACGGACCACCAGTTGACGACTGCTGGATTAGCTTATCTATGCTTGGTCCAAAATTGATGGCATATGATGAATATGGAAGTACTTTGCTTATCCAGCAAATCAGTAGCTGGTCATGGCAATGGCTGATATTTGTGAAAATTTGAAACATTTCTGTCCTGGCCTGTGTAGCTCATTTGGTTGGGTGTCAAAAGGTTGCTGGTTCAGTTCCTGGTAGGAGGCATGCAGAAGGCACCTGATTGGTGTTTTGCTCTCACATCACGTCTGTGTTTCTCCCTCGCCCTCTCCCTTTCCCTCTCCCTCTCCCTCTCCCTCTCTCTCAAAATCAATTAAAATATAAAAAATATTTTAAAATAATTTGACACGTTTCAGTAGAAAATTCCTTGTTTTATATGAAAGTGAGAAAGATTATGAACCAAGTTGTGAACTACTGCTCCAGGTTGCCAAACTTTGCATCTTTGCCTCAATGAAAAGAAGAGGGCAAATAAATAGCACCGTGGCTCTGAGGAAATGATTTACCCCAAGTCTTGACATAATCCACTCACAAAGATTCTTATGTTGTCTTGAGTCTTGAAATATTCTCCTACAGGGAGCTGGATTAGTGGCTAACTTCTCTCCCTTGAATCCAGTTGTATGGTTTTGGTTTAGAGGTCAGTTCTGTAAATGGGGTTGAGATTCATAGTGTCCCTGAGATCTGGAAAAGGGCCACTGGCTTGTTTTTTCAAATTTTTTATTTGTGCTGCTTGTAAAATAGAGCGCTCTCATAACATAAAATAAAGCCATCAGTACTTACGTTTTATCTCTCACATCACGTCTGTGTTTCTCCCTCGCCCTCTCCCTTTCCCTCTCCCTCTCCCTCTCCCTCTCTCTCAAAATCAATTAAAATATAAAAAATATTTTAAAATAATTTGACACGTTTCAGTAGAAAATTCCTTGTTTTATATGAAAGTGAGAAAGATTATGAACCAAGTTGTGAACTACTGCTCCAGGTTGCCAAACTTTGCATCTTTGCCTCAATGAAAAGAAGAGGGCAAATAAATAGCACCGTGGCTCTGAGGAAATGATTTACCCCAAGTCTTGACATAATCCACTCACAAAGATTCTTATGTTGTCTTGAGTCTTGAAATATTCTTCTACAGGGAGCTGGATTAGTGGCTAACTTCTCTCCCTTGAATCCAGTTGTATGGTTTTTGGTTTAGAGGTCAGTTCTGTAAATGGGGTTGAGATTCACAGTGTCCCTGAGATCTGGAAAAGGGCCACTGGCTTGTTTTTTCAAATTTTTTATTTGTGCTGCTTGTAAAATAGAGCGCTCTCATAACATAAAATAAAGCCATCAGTACTTACGTTTTATTTTGTACATCTGCAATTGTGAAAAAGAAATTGATAAGATCATCATGCTTTGATGTTCTTCTGTTCTTAGAGAATATTACATTACAGAACTGTAGTCCTGTTGCTGTTTTCATTGAGAATGTGGTAGTTAATGGAATCACATGGTACAAAATTGCCTTAAACACCACTCAATCTCCTTTTTTTCTTCTCTTCTACTTTGGCTTTTCTTTATTAATTTGCTGATTTTCCTTGTGTATCCCTGCCCCCTTTTTTCCTGCTCATCTCATATTTTCTCTTTAAATATTCATTGAAATTTGTTTCATTACATCTTGCAGGACTTCACCAGGACTATAGGATTTCAGTATTGACAAGAGATGTTAATCTTAATTATCTTGAATTAACTATGTAACCTAAAGAAAAGGTCAAAATGAATGTCACAAAGTAGTGTGCAGTAGCTTTTTGCTATGCCTTCTTAATTTACCCCAATGGAAAATTTTGAAAATTGGTGGTTTTACTGGTAACAATACAGAGCATGTTTACTTTTGACCTTTCAATTGGGAAAGGAGGTGGTGGCATAGTACCCTTACACTCCTCGGAATTTGATTGTGTACACTGTTTCAATTGCTTTTCCCCCCTTAAATCTAACAAGGACACCATTGCCTTTATCAGGCTACAAATTTCTCTTCATTTCTTTTTATTTTGTTTCTCCCTCCCCAACCTTCTTAATCTCAATCAGTGGGAATTTGATGATACTACTGAACATGTGAGTAATTTTTGACTGCTTTGTCAAAACAGATTATAAGTGCTTTTTTTTTCCTGATACTCCTCTTTTATGTATTTGTGATATACCATCACTGTTTGAATGCATGAACTAACAAATTATTTTTAAATTATCTTTTCTACGTTATACTTTATATTTTGGTTTGATTTTGTGAAATTGGCATGGTGCTACTGATTGCATAAGAAATATCATGAGCTCATCTTATTTTGGTGGCTGCTACTAACTCTGCCTTGTGACACAGTTCGACGAAGCATGCTTTAAACGGCGGCATCACAGACCCGGGCTGTCAGGTTGTATGCTGTAGGCTGCTCATACATCCGACTCAGTGGATCACATGACATAGACCTGGCACCAATGAACTCTATCCAGAAATGGCGATTCTCTGTTGTATCCATACAGATTTTATTAAACTTGAATGAGTCATGGCAAGAAGTAAAATGTGTCCCACTGAGGGAGGAGTTTTTAAAACAATTTGATTGAGTGGATTATGTTATTTATTGAGAGCTTATTTATTCTATATATGGTACTGGGGGGATATAAGATGTAGCACTTGCCTCTTAAGTGCTTATAGTCTAAGTGGCTAGGAAGGATGTAAAGTTTAGAAAAGTTGCATAAAATACAATATATGTAATGACATCAAGCAATGTATAACTAATTAGTAAATGAGTGACAAATATCAGTAAGGGCTAGGCATTTAGAAACACTAGACCAGCTGGTAAAAGAGGTCTTGAAAATTTAGTAGAGAACTTAAAGGATAAACGGGGATTGAAGAGGTGAAAATGTGTGTGCATTGTGTGTGTGTGTGTGACTGTTACAGACCATCCAGTAATGCCAACTTTTAGCAAGCAAGGGCACGAAGTGGAGTGGAGTGGGATAGGGAAAGGCAACGAGTGAGGAACTGGCCATGATATCAGCCACACTAACCCACAGAGGGTAGGAAGCCACCAGGGAAGAACACCCTCAGCTTAAAGATAGAAAATGTGCCGAAACCGGTTTGGTTCAGTGGAGAGAGCGTCGGCCTGCGGACTGAAAGGTCCCAGGTTCGATTCTGGTCAAGGGCATGTACCTGGGTTGCGGGCACATCCCCAGTGGGAAATGTGCAGGAGGCAGCTGATCGATGTTTCTCTCTCATCGATGTTTCTAACTCTCTATCTCTCTCCCTTCCTCTCTGTAAAAAATCAATAAAATATATTTTTTTAAAAAAAGAGAAAATGTAACCTGAGAAGGTGCGATCCAGGCAGAGATGTAGCCAGCTGAGTTTGTAGGGCCACACAGGGCTTGACCAACTTCAAACTGCATTGTTTACAATGTCCTGTCATATGGGCTAGAGGAAGGACACGAGTAGTTAACCTATTTGTATAATTGAGGAACTTGTACAAGGCTCAGAGGATATAAACGTCTTGCCACACAATTCAGTGGCAGAACCAAGCCTTTCTGCTTTTTTCCCTCCCAGCCTTGCCTGCTGCCAGCAGCAATCAAGTAGCATGTGAAGGGGGACATTGAAAACAATAAGGTTGGCAGGTACCCGTCACGATTTTGGGAATGGCTATTGTCTGCCACCATTTAAAATGCCACTCTCAGGTGGTTCACTTGGTTTTTATAGTCTCTGTAATGTTAGTGAAACCATTCCAAGTTCCTGAAAATAAAATTTCTCTCCCAAATTTAGTCCATTCATCTGGCAGAATAGTATTCCCAATGGCTCTTCAAGATGGAGTCCGAAATACTGGAATTTCCGCTGTTGATACTCCTCCTTTTTTTGAGAAAAGCACATTGTAAAAGCTATCATATTTAGGATCATTGTCAACCATTGAGTTCTATGGTGCCCATTACAGCCTTGCATAGAAAAGTCCTCCAGTCCTCCACACAATCCAGCCCATTCACTAAACTCTCACTCGCATTGTCTTTAGATGTGGGAAGCAATGACATTGTATATTTTCCTAAATGTATCACACTTAATTTGAAAACATAGCTGTACCAAAAATCTGAAAGGGTTTTTTATTCATTATATTGCTCTCTGTGTGTATCTCTAAAGAAAATAACAGGACAAATCAATAGCTCTATGTAAAGAACCGTGTAACCTCCAATTTGGACAAACAGTTCTCTGTCTAGTCTTAATAACTACCACAACTTGGGGCCTTCATTAAGACAAAAACAGAGAGTTTTGATGACTGATGTTGGTGATATTTAACATTTTCTAAACAGTCAGAATTGCTTGAACAATATTTGTGATACGGCAGAGCCAGTCCTTTCATTTGGTTTTAGATCAGAAAATCATTCAGTTGAACAGAAGATTCTCCTGAGTCTATAATGATTATTGTTCATAGCCCACACGATCAGCCAATGACATGTTTCATGAGTCCCAAGAAACTTATCTGAATCTCAGGATGTCCAGGTCCAACAGATCAGCCATTTGGCAAGATCGGTCCAGGGTGGTAAAACAGACGGCGTTGGCATCAGCCCATCCGCAGTCTGTAGGCCAGGCTGTAGTGGATGCGCATGGAGAGCTACTGGCAGAAACTAACAGCTAGTTTATGGATTGCTCACTGTGAGCCAGGCGTAGTTCTTATCATTTGCCGGATGTAACCCATTCAGGAGCCCTATGCAGTCTTATTACTCATAACGTTCACATGAGAAACTGAGGCACAGAGTTGAACTCGTAGACCTTGGATCACCAGGCTTATACATAAGGGGAAGTGGGTTTAAATTTAAGAATTCAGGAGTTCTGTCTCCAGGTTTTATGTTTTTAATTACTTTCCATTAGAGCTGCCCTATGCGGGCTGACCCCACTTTAATGTCAGCATGAAAACATCATCCATAGCATGAGCTCCAGGCATGCAACTTCCAGTGCTTGGCATGGCTGCAGGGAATGTTGAAGCATGCACAGAAATGCTAGCGGATGCCTTGATCTTTCCCCCAGAGCGTTGGGAGCATGATTTAAATCAGTGCCATTCTACTGTGTCATTTCAGGACATGATTATTTCTGGGCTGCAGCCTGAAACTTCCTACTCCCTCACTGTCACAGCCTACACCACCAAAGGAGACGGTGCTCGCAGCAAGCCCAAACTGGTGTCCACCACAGGAGCAGGTAACTGATCGGTGCAGCTATGTGCCTTGAACATGTTTGGGGAGACAGTAACGCTGATTTTCTAAATGGGATGAGTGGCTTCTGACCCAGGGGAAAAAATAAGCTCTGATCAACTTTTTGTTTTAAATATATATATATATATATTTTATATATGAAAAAAATAAGAACATGGGAATATAATTTGCCCAAATTATCTAGTCAGTCCTTTAACAAATACTTCTTGGAGCATCAGTTGTCAGGTACCTTTCCCCTTACTGGGCATACATCGGTCAGCAAAGCAGACGCTGCCCTCCCGAAATTTATTTTCTGACCAGGACTAGCTACTTAACAGTGGACAAATCAGTATAGAATGAAATGTCAGTGAGTGATAAACTGAAAAATAAAGGCGTATTGGCATTAAGCATAGGGCAGCCCCTAGGGGTTATTTTGGAGCTATCGGAGGTCTCTGTGAGGCGGGATATTTGAGCTGAGGCTTGAATAGTGTGAAGGAGCAAGCCTCAGGGGGGTTCGGAGGGCACATCCTCTAGGTAGGGAAGGCATTGGCAGCTTCAAGCTCTCCCAACAACAAACCCTGGCAGAGGAGCTGCCATCTGGAACTAGGTGTTGACTTCGTTTTATTTTTTGTTATGTTTTCCTCCCCAACCCCGCCATGGGGATTCTAAAGAGGCAAATTGCACAAAAGATGGGGAACAGAAAAGAGAATGAAAAAAAGAAAAAGGGCTAAATATCACATTGTTCTTTCTAAAGAACAAAGCTCAATATTCTTTAGAGTTACTTTGGTTGGCCACAGTAGGAAAAGCCAGCATGAAGGAAGGCCTGGCATTGTAAAACCAATAAATTAAGAGATGATTATAAAAGGATTATCCTCCTGCCCCTGTCCATAGAAATCTCCTGTGGAACATTTAAACTGTGATTTGATCGACTCCTTCAAAATCACTTCTCACATAACTTTGTAGGAACACACCTTTCGGTAAAGGCATGAAGGGAAGAACAGCTGTGACGGTGAGCACCCTCCCAGGCGCCATGCTCACTGCCAAATTTGTCTAAATGTCATAAGATTTGCCTTGCATCCTGCCACCGTGAACTGCCACAAGCAGCAGGATTACAGATGGCAGAATTCCTTCAAGATAGTCTTCTGGGCTTTATTTTAATTTTTTTAAGAACACCATTGTATCAAGCTAGTTTTTTGCCTTGCATAGGAGATACGTGTTCAGTGGGGCATACTGACTGTCTTGCTATGGAAACAACCTCTATTTGAATACAGACAACTGAGGCTAAACTCCTGAAAATTAATTTCAAAATGAAGAAAATACATCTACTCCCATATTAGTAACTGTCTAATGTTTTACATGAAATCATCAAACTCCCATTCTCATAAGATGGGGGTCCTAAAATGAGCAGAAAAGAATAACCAAAGAGAAAGGAATAATAATGTCTATTTTATTATTTATTTTAAAGATTATCTCATCACTTTTTAGTCACCGTATCAACATTTATTAGTATTTAGAATTGTCAATATCATTTATATCTAAAACTAGAGGCACGATGCATGAATTTTGCACGGGTGGGGTCCCTCAGCCTGGCTGGTGATCAGGGACAATTGGGGCGGTCAGAGGTTGGCCAGTGGGGGGGGAAGGGCCATGGGAGGTTGGCTATGGGAGTACACTGACCATCAGGGGGCAGCTCCTGCATTGAGTGCCTGCCCCCTGGTGGTCAGTATGTATCATAGCGACCGGTCGACCAGTTGTTCGGTCATTTGTTCATTTGGTTGCTTAGGCTTTATATGTATAGATTATCTTGGGATTTTCATTCACAATTTCAGGTCTTTGTTAATCAATGAAGATTTAGATATTAAGGTAGGAAATACTTACAGTTTAGATGTCTGCACATTTGTTTTCTTGAGACCTTCCCACTGAGCCTGAGTTGGAGGTAGGAGAATCCGGATTTATAACCTCTTGTAGAGAAAATCTGTAGTTTTCTTTGCTGCCAACCTACCAGTTAAAAAGCACTCCCCCAAATCCCCCAAAAAGCATTCCCAATCATGGTTCATCCCCAGGTAATCAGTAAACTCATTTTTTTGTTGTTGTTTTTGTATACTGTTACCAAAAAGCCTTATATTTACATGACTATGAAGAATTGCTGAGTTTATCTCACATATATGAGCTTCAACTAAACCACAGTTTTTAGGCTATTAGTAATTGCTTCCATGGAGAATTCAGAAATTCTCATGGAATTTTATTTTAATAGTAAAATTCCTGATTGTAGTGTATGTTAATGTATAATATAATATTTCTAAAATCTGTGAACAATCATAACTTTGAAACAAAATGTACTGGCCATCATTTAATCTGTGGAAGATGTAACCTGAGGGATGCCTTTGAATAAAGTGTTGGCTTTTATATTTCAGTGATAGTGACATTTTTGTAGTTTACTTGTTAATCTTACATTGTCCTGTCTCATGCTAATTAGCCTGTTGTGTGAAGTCTTGAGATTTAAGACAACCAACAAATTCATTGGTTTGAAATTTTCTCTCTATTTTTGCATAAATGTCACTACTGTACTGAACAGTTATGGTTAAAGCTGATAGAAAAGACAACTATGACATGGAGAATTTGGAATAGGCTTAGGCCAGTGAATTATGATTTTTTAAAAATTTGTCTTTATTGTTGAAAGTATTATAGATGCCCCCCCCCCTTGACTCTTTCTAGACTGCAGGTTTCCCGCTCCCCCTCCCAGCTCCCCAGGCCTTCACCACACTATTGTCTGTGTCCATGAGTTATGCATATATGCATATAAATTCTTTGGTTAATCTCTTCTTACCCACACACACCCACCCTCCTTCTGAGATTCCACATTCTGTCCCATGTTTCTACGTCTCTGGATCTATTTTGTTCATCAGTTTATTTTGTTCTTTAGATTCCACATGTGAGTGAGATCATATGATGTGTGCCTTTCTGTGACTGGCTGATTTTGCTTAGCATAATCCTCTCCAGGTCCTATTTCTTCTTAGATGCTAGGTTAAACCACATTAGGTGGTACTCCACATACAGTACCACCTAATACATCTCTTCATTTCCCCACCTAGAATATGCAGATACCAGAGAACATAGAGCCTGCACTATCCATCTTTATTTTCCCACCCAGATTCCTGTGTGCCAGTGTTTGGTGTTTAAGTCTTTGCACAAAGTGAATAGATGGTATATGTTTAGATTTTCCGGAAATCAGAAATGGAATGGAATCAATATGTGGAGATTCAGAGAATTCTTTTTAACCATTCGTTCAGTGTTGTAGAACTCTCCGCATTCCTTTTATTCTATCTGTTACTGGGATGAAATACTCAGAACCCTTACCCAACTTGAACTACTTCTATTCTTCACACATTTGTGGAGATTTTGAGACATTCGCATCATGTGGCTAGCCTCCCCTGAGGCGATACTGGTATTCTTCCTCTAGCTGCCTCAGCATTCCTTTCTTTCTGGGTTCTTTACTTGTATATGGTGATGTTCCGGGAATGGTTGTCTCATAGTTTCAGGCTTAGTGAAATTTCTGCCAAGGGAAGGAATGACCTTGCAGGCTTGAATGGAGAGCAGACTGAGATGCTCCTGGCAGGGCAGTGGAAATCAGTAGGTCAGAACTGACTCTGACTTCTTTTTTTAAAAAAAAAATTATTAAATTGATTGGGTTGACCTTGGTCAGTATTAACATACAGGTTTCAGGTATGGGTTGACTCTTACTTCTAGAGCATTACTTTGAGCCCATGATTCAAGCCCACAGTATGTATATCCCCAATTAAGAAAGGGCATTAAAACAAACAAACAAAAAAAGACATTAGTCCAACCTAAGCTTTAACCACAGAAGAATAATGAACATTTTTATAAAGCCAGTGTGTTTTTGTCTTAGAATTTACTGGTCCACTATATTTCTCCAAATTTGTACCACAGCAATAGTAGAAAGTGAAACATCAGATAATAAAAACATATTGCTATTTGGATGACAAATAGTATAAATATTATTAGAATATTTGTGGTTTATATCAAGAATACTAGCCGTAGCTGATTTGGCTCAGTAGATAGAGTGTTGGCCTGCAAACTGAAGGGTCCCAGGTTCAATTCCGGTCAATGGTACATGCCCGGGTTGAGGCTAGAGCATTGACCTGCGGACTGAAGGATCCTGGGTTCAGTTCTGGTCAAGGGCCCATGCCCAGGTTGCGGGCTCGATCCCCAGTAGGGGGCCTGCAGGAGGCAGCCGGTCATGATTGTCATCATTTCTCTTTCTCTCTCTCTCTCTCTCACTCCCTCTCCTCTTTGTCTCCCTTCCTCTCCGAAATCAATTTAAAAAAAAGAAGAAAACTAAAAATGTTTGATTGATCCTAGCTTTACATGCATCTTATAGAAACTGTATACGTACATACTTACTATGCAGTTCCTTGGAACCAGAATTTTAGAAAACTTTGATAATTATGTTTAATAAAATATGTTGTATCTGGAAAATGTTGAGACTTAATAGTTATGTTTCTTCCCAGTAGTTTCTACTGGATTTTGTTCACTGAATGGTGTTTCCTCTGCTGAAGGCCCTAGATTTTCTCAGCAGAGCCTCACGTGTTTAATCCTTGACATCATTGACCCTTAATGAGCAAATTGTGTAAATGTTATACACACATAAAGGGAAATATAAGGATGCCTCTCACTGTCTTCCTTAAAGTGATTTTTAAAATGAAAATAATTTTAAATTATTTTAAAATGAAATAAATTTAAACTAATACAGTGGTGCCGCCTCAGCTACCGGGGCTACATTACAAGATCCCCAGGGGATGCCTAGAACCAAAGATGGTACCGAATCCCATTTAGACTATGTATTTTCCTTTACATACATGTTTAATTTATGAATTAGGCACAGTGAGAGATTAACAATAGCTGACAATAACATAGAACAAGTCTACCAATATATTGAAATAAAAGTTATGTGACTGCTCCCTCTCTCTCAAAATAGCTTATTGTACTGGAATCACCTTTTCTCTTAAAGGAGGCACTTTAATGCTTCTCTGGCGTATCTGAACTGGCAGCATCACTACTCTTTCACTTTGGGGCCATTGTGTTAAGTAAAATAAGGGTTACTTCAACACAAGCACTGCGATACCGTGACAGTCAGTCTGATAATGGAGATGGCTCCTAAGTGACTAACCTACGGTGTGGAGACATCAAAGGGATGATTCAAGTCCCAGGCAGGATGCAGTGGGGTAGCGCAAGATTTCATCATGGCTACTTAGAATTTAAAAACTATGAATTGTTTATTTCTGGAATTTTCCACTTAATACTTCCGGGCTATGGTTGACCAAATTGTGCTGAAACTAAAGAGAGCTACGGTAAATGGAATAATTCAAAAGCTCTCCAATTTCTGAATGAGCTGTAGTTTGAGAATTTCTTAATTGATTAAGCTCTCTGCATGCATATTTTCCTGAGAAACAATGAGTATACAATCTTTGATTTGGTTTGATTTGGTTCCTGGGCCAACTCTCAACACACACACACACACACACACACACACACACACACACACTAGCCATTACAAACTTCAGGAACTGTTCTTCCCATGTATTGTAGGTTAGCTGAGTTATATTAACTTACCCAACATGGGAACAAAACTGTTACTTCATTGACGAAGGATCCAGTTACCTTAATGAACATGTTCTTGGGCAAAGCATGCTACCACTGGGGGTTCAACTTTCTAAAATATATGATGAACAGGTTAACCAGGTCATTACTGAGGTTAGTATAATATGCATTTTCTTATCATCTTTCTGATTTTGTTGTTTTTTGTTTGTTTCATTTTTTTTTATCTCTACCCCCTTAATACTATTTGTCATTGCCAGTCTCCCATTAGTGCAAGCTTTCCTTCCTTTCTACCATCTTCCTCTTCCTATCAACTTCTCTTTGTTTTAAGTTTGTTGATATTCTTCTTCCTTCCCCATCTTTGGTCTATCCTCAGAGTACCTTTTGGCTCTGTGTTATTTACCACTGTCCTGTGTGGATTCCAGGAATAACTGCCCTCCATTAAAAAATTACAGTTGTACAAATCTATTGAATGAGTAGATTAGAACTCTTTACATATCTAACTTACTTAACTTGAAAAGAATATAAATTATGTACTAGTATTTACAGGAAACTAGCCCCTTACTATAAGAGGTTAGTATTTTGATTATTGAGAATTATGATAATAGTAATAAAATATTAAACTTGTGTGAAGACTTTTACATGAATTTTCTGATCTAATATTCACAACAACATTATAGGGTAGGTCATAACATAATTCATGTGTTAAAGATGAAAATTCAATGGGAATGACTGGTGTGGATAGTTAAGTATAAACAATAATGCAAATTAGAGCCATAGTAAGTCAAAATAATGTTATTTGGAGCTACTTTTTTGTAAATTTATAAGCAGCATAACAATGTAGTCAATTATTTGGCCTATAGAGTCAATAGACCTGGGTTTGTACTACACCTTTCTCATTTATTACACATCTTACCTTGCACAGTGTTCTGGCTCTCTGAGTTTCCTTTTCTTATTATACAAAAATCAAGATAACTAATCAGAGCATGTAGTCGGGAGTAAGGACTGTAAATCAAATGAAACAGAACATGTAATGCTTTTAGCAGTGTCTGGTACATCGCATGCGACCAATAATTAAATACGTTATACTTGTTATTATTAGCTGCATCTAATTGGCTCATCTGTACTCATTCGTTTCTCTGTGGCATGCACCTTTATGTGTGAAAGTCTAAAATGTGGAGATGTTAAAATGTTTCCTCAAATTATTATTTAGTAAATTCCTATTTTGTGTCTATTACAGCATTCTAGCAGTTCAGCCTACTTTAATAGAGTAGAAGAAGTAGAACATTGCCACAAAGATATACAGACCAAGCATTGCCCCCCCCCCTTTTAATAAAGACTTGAGAATGCTGTAGAGTGGTGTTTCCATTTAGCAATGATTGAAATGCGAGCATCCATGTAAGTTGGTCCATCCATGTGCTTCAGTCCCAGGGAAACCCCGGCTGCTGATCAGCCACACGCAGATGAACACTGCTCTCATTCAGTGGCACCCCCCTGTGGACACGTTTGGACCTCTTCAGGGCTACCGTCTAAAATTTGGCCGGAAGGATATGGAGCCGCTCACCACTCTTGAGTTCTCTGAAAAAGAAGACCACTTCACAGCGACAGACATCCACAAAGGAGCGTCGTACACCTTCAGGCTCTCAGCCAGAAACAAAGTGGGCTTCGGGGAGGAGATGGTGAAGGAGATTTCTGTCCCAGAAGACGTCCCAACTGGATTCCCTCAAAACCTCCACTCGGAAGGCACCACGTCCACCTCCGTCCAGTTATCTTGGCAGCCACCTGTCCTGGCGGAGAGAAACGGCCTTATCACCAAGTATACCCTTCTGTACAGGGATATCAACATCCCCCTCCTTCCAATGGAGCAGCTTATTGTTCCCGCTGACACCACTCTGACACTCAGTGGCTTAAAACCAGATACCACATATGATGTAAAAGTACGTGCTCACACGAGCAAAGGGCCCGGGCCATATAGTCCCAGTGTCCAGTTCAGGACACTGCCTGTGGATCAAGGTAGGATTTGTCTGCTTGTGGCCTTCCTCCTTTAAAGGAATGTCGGTCTTTGGAAATCAGTATTTTGAAGCTATAAATAACTGCTTGGCCCATTCCTATTAATAGGTTCAGCCAAAGCGAAAAGGTAAAGTATGCGAAGCTTACTATGTTTTGGATGCCTTAGATTTCAGTTATAGAATGCCAACCCAGTCTGGCTGAGAGCATCCCCATGTCCTCAGGTAAGGAAAACACAATGTAGTTGACCGAAATGGAGAGGAAGGAGAGATCTTTAGGAGAATGATGTATTTAAATGAATGCTCTGAACAGGTAGGCAAATCACCACTTCTCTCTCGGATCAAAGTAGAAAGCATCTAGCGTAAGCCCTGTGGTCCAAGGTGGTAAAGGACAGGTCGTGGTTCTTAGGAGTGGTTTAAATACACTGTTTTTCCTTTTCCAGCAGTGTTTGCAAAAAATTTTCATGTCAAAGCAGTAATGAAGACCTCAGTGTTGCTGTCTTGGGAGATTCCGGAGAATTATAATTCTGCCATGCCTTTCAAAGTGAGTTGTTTTCGAATGTGTAAGAAATCACAGGTAAAAGTGGAGGGGCGGGGGGCAGTCCTCCTGGGCGAGTTACCAAAAAGCAAACAGACAGATTTGGTTCTGGTACACATGCTTGCTCATGTGTGGCTTTCGCATACTAGGCTGAGTCTGGCACTTGGGCTGTGTGGCCTTTCCACTCAGAAGAGGGGGCAGAAGCTCAGGCCTAGTGCTGGCATTCCTTTGTAGGTGACCTAGTGTTTGCAAGTTGAACTTTTTACATCTAAGCTAGTGTTTTTTTTCCCCCCCAGAAAAGGAAATTTGTATGGTTTCTACCTATATAGAATGCAACCGATTTTAAAAATATGTTTATTGGCCTGAATTCTTTGCACATTTCAAATTCTAGCTGAGAATTTAAACTCCATGGAGAGATAGTGAGAGATGCTAGCGAGAAGTACAAGGCTATGAAATAAAGAGTAGAGACACATTTTTGAAAGTTATAATATATTTAGGAACAGGAATGGAAACGTTTAGAAAAAAAAGTGATGTGTATAATACATTGGAAACCGAAAGCATTTCTGCACACATTCCATTTCTGTCACATACAACTGACAAGTCAAAATTGAAAAAAATATTGTGCATTTCTTTGTGTATTTTCACTAGAGTTAGACATATTATATCATTACACAGTAAGAACGAAGTGAAAAATTGATGCGATCTCTAGAATTTGTGAAGACTTATTGGCTTATGGATTATCCAGAAATTGAAATTGATCTGATAGGCATTATCTATAGGCAAGTGCACATGAGTTTAGAAAACATTCCTGGCCTCTCTGTGATCGGTGGTATCTCCCTAGATTCTTTATGATGATGGGAAAATGGTAGAAGAAGTGGATGGTCGAGCTACACAAAAGTTAATTGTCAACCTGAAGCCTGAGAAGTCGTACTCCTTCGTGCTGACAAACCGTGGGAACAGTGCCGGGGGGCTGCAGCACCGGGTGACCGCGAAGACCGCGCCGGACGTGCTGCGCACCAAGCCTGCCTTCATTGGGAAGACCAACTTGGATGGCATGATTACTGTGCAGCTGCCCGAAGTACCTGCAAATGAGAATATAAAGTAAGTTGATTGAAGGGTTAGGGCTGAAGGAGAGAAATGCCAGTAAACAAAAAGAGAAAGTTAAATCTCAGTGTTGTAGTGTTATAGAAGAATAAATTGCTGTACATAGAAGACCAGAGTCTTCTACATAGGATTGTAGTTTTGTTATTCACTGCACTGTGACCTGGTTTTCATTGTAACCCAGATTCTCATTATTTTAACGTTTAATATTTTGGATGTTCCAGGAACAGTGTTACTTAGGAAAGCTAGAACGGCAAATAGAATAAAGGAGTGTATGTCATAATATATGGAGTAAGGTGACTAGTTGAATGACTGATATGTGGCAAGTTATTGTGGGGGTGTCTTATAAAGTACAATAACACTAAAAGAACTTTGGGGAATTAGATAAGCAAATAAAGTTTGTGACACTAGTATTTTATACATGTGCCGAAAGGTAGAAATTTCAAAAGTTAAAATTCTGAATACATTGGAAAAACATGTAAGTGAAAAATGCAGGTTTTCTAGGTTGAATGGAGCACAGTGTAGAAGCCAGTGGGCCTTCAGTAGAAAATTTAATCCAGTCAGATTAGTAGTTTGTCAGTTGTATATAGTTAGTTGTACCCAATAGAATAGATAATCAGCACAGCTCATTAGGGATAGCCAACAGAAAACAGAAGTATTTACACTGAAGTGTATTAAGTGTGAGCACGGTGGAAGGCCGTGGGGAATGAAAAAGATGTGACCCCTGGCCCCAAAGAGCTTACCATAGGGTGGGGGACACAGAGAAACAGATGCAATACTGTGTTAATGATAGAGTTGTATTCTCAAGAGCAGCCAAACTGGAATGGAGTGGGTCAAAGAAGTTTCCAAATTTAATTTTGAAGGACAGATAAGAGACAGACAAAAAAAATCAGAGTGAGAAGATTATATACAAAGGCCCATCGTACAGGAAGCAAGTGATTCTGTGAGGCTGGTGCCCTGAGCGCTCCTGCAAGCCTGGCGGAAGAGGTGTACAGGGGTCACCTCCTGCCCAGAAGTTGGAACTATATTCTGTAGACAATGAAAATCTATTAAAGGGTTTTATGTGGTAGCGTGACATGGTACCATTTGGATAATTACCAAGTTTCTGTCTCTCCATTTTAGGAAGTATTTATTGAGTGTCTACTGCATTTTGGACACTGTGCTCCGCTCAGAATAAGACTAGATCCTTTCTCGTTTCTTCTTTCTCACACAATCAACTTTAGATGAAACTGGCGATGAAAGATTGGAAGGCCGAGTGGATGCCTTTATACATAGTTCATAGGCCCTCAGAGCCTAATGTGTGGGGACAAGCTGGCAGCACTACTGGGACAGTTCTCAGGGAACATGGAGCCTGAAGGCGTATGTTAGTGGGAACTGGAACAGCAGAGAGAGAATTGTTGGGGAGTTACCACATAGTTAGTGACACTGGGCAAGTAAAAAGGTTCCGAAGATGGTGATGGTGGATCTGAGCAGGGGCAACCCAGAGCAGTAGTGCAGTAGGAATTGGAAGCTGATGAAATGAAGAGATCAGTGCAGAGGAAAACATCACAGATGGCTCTGGGGTTTGAGAAAAGCATCAGAGATGGCTCAGGGGTTTGATAAAAACATCATAGAAGCCGAAACCGGTTTGGCTCAGTGGATAGAGCGTCGGCCTGCGGACTGAAAGGTCCCAGGTTCGATTCCGGTCAAGGGCATGTACCTGGGTTGCACATAGAAATGAATGATCCTGCCATTTGTCCTAAAGGACACGAAAAAAAAAAAATCAAGAGGAAATGAATGCGTTTAATTTTGTCTATATGTTCCATTGAGGTAACAATGAAATACCTAATTTGGGATGTGGGTTTAAGGAAATTACTAGGATTAAAGATAGGCATTTGGGAATAGTAACAGCAGCACTGGTTTTATGGGAGGAGACAATCACTGAGACAATGAAGTAAAAGTATGAAACAAAAGGCTAATAATAGTAAAGGTCTCGGTTATTAGGACGAAGGTAGCAAGTACAGACATACAGTAAAGCTTGTTAGAGAGTTAGGGGAATTGAGCCAGGGCCATAGCAAAGGAATTTTTAAAGATTATGTACAGTAAGCACTTTCCAAAGCTCCAGAAAACTTGAAGAATATGACTGGGGAAAAAATTAGCTATTAAAAAGTAAAACTTGAAGAATATGCTGAAAAAAATTAGCTATTAAAAAGTAAAGTTATAAACAAGAAGTTTTTACTATTGGGGTATTTGTGAAATTTAGGAAACAATCCTTCCTGAAAAAAATTTCAGTTACTGTTTATTCGATAAAATAATTGGATGGTTTCAAGCAGATGACGAAATTTCCAAAAGATTATTATGAAAACAAATTCACTGAGAAATAAGGTTCCCATTTCTGTTCACTCTTCTCTTTCTGTCATTTATAAAATTGGAAATGAGAATGAACTATTTAGCACAAGTTTTATTCCAACAAAATTTAATATGAAAGTGAGTTTATATTTATCCATTGATTTGTTTAAATATTCTGTTGATTTTTTTAATCTCCCACCATAGTGCCAGTCAATGTTTCAAGGGTTTAGTGGGGATAATGCAGACTTATTCATTGATATTACACAACATGGTTAATTAGGGAATTTGGACAAGTAAAAAGATCAGTTGAAGTGGAGTACTGTGGTTCCAAAGGTTAGATGGCCACAGGAGGGAAAGGGTTCCTGGAGAGAGTGACATCTAAGCTAAGGCTTAATGAATGACATGAACTTAGCTGGTCCGTGGCGTGGGGGTGGGGAGACACTGTTTCAAGAGGACAGCATGTGTGATGGTGCCTAATTGAGATAAAGACTTGCATTTGTTATTCATCTATGTCTTCTCCATCCATTGCGACTTTTTAGTTGGCATCCAATGAACATTTATTCTGTACACACTATATTTCCAGCACTAGGACTGGGAGAGATGACTGAGATAAAGCCCTTTCTTACGGTGGGAGAACAAAGACAAAGAATAGGTAATGTGAATATAATGGGAGAAGTCTGCCAAGTACTATGGAAACATGAGTATAGAGATTTAGCCCAACTTGGATGTCAGGGGAGGAGGTACTTGGAAGGATCTAATATCTCATCTGAGTGTTGAAGGATGAAGAAGATTTAGAAAAGGTACAAGAATTGCAAACCATGAAAGAAGAGGGAAAAAATATGGACTCTAAATTCAATCCATTAAAAAATATGCACTTTCTATTTAGAGAAAGAACAGTTGAAAGATGAGAATAGTATATTTTGTAGTATTTACTATTGGTTTTCAATATTTTATTTATATGAAAAATATTTTAGTGGATATTTACTATATTGGCTTGGTAGAATGTGTTAGACGTTATTGGGAAATGGCATTTTAGTCCATTGTTGGTAGACTTTTGTTTCATTTTCCAACTTCAGAATGAGTTGAGAATATCACAGAATCTAGTTTGTTTTTTAGTGTTTTTCTTTAGCTTGTTCAGTTTTTTTCTTCGTTTTCTTTATCTACTTTCTCCTCCTATATTTGAAGTGGGAATCAGGGAAAAGGCATAAGAATTTAGTAACAAAGAGAAGAGACCATTATGAAACAGAAAAAGGAATCAAAACATTACGGGGAAAAAATATGTTCTAGAAATAAAGAGATTCTCCAAAAAATATATATATATTCTAGCTGCTCTGGGGAAAAGAGCAAAAGACTAAATTAGAAAAGTAGTTGAGTGGAAAAAGGACCAGAGCTATAAGAAATGAAAGAGCAAATCTCCAGTTAGAAAAAAAAAGCAGCAAGAAATCCTAGATAATTTATATTTGGGGGCTTCCTACAGCGTCAAGTTGCCCATCCTTTCTTCCAGGTTGGTTTAAGTGGGATGGTCACATATCACAAGCACCTGTGTGCCTCGTAGTGCCACTGGCAGGAATCGGCAAGTACAGAAATTAGAGAGGAATGTAGCTTTTTGTTCAGTATTTTATGGGTGAAATGAGGGGAGAAAGCAATTGATTCCAGACCTTTAGGTGGGTTGCTGACTTTTATTTAGGTGAATGCTATCTAGAAAAATGCTTCCCATTTGTTTTCTAGCCAAATGCAATTTTAGTGATTGAAGAGCTGTTTTGTTTATCAACAGAAACCATGCTTCTCTCATTTCCAGCCACAGTAATTGGCAGGTCTTGATCACTGCCCCCAGCTCCTCACTGCTTAGGCACCAATCTGCCCCTGGGAAATGTAAGCGGACATAGCTCCTTGCTCCGGAAGGAATTGGCCCACACTGGGTTTCTCTCTGAGAAGCAGAGGCGCTCCCTCAGGGAAAGGTAACATTTCCCAGGAAATAGCAGGTTCTGGTGCCGGGAATTCTGTAGGGCTTCAGCCTTCTATTTAAGTGCTTTTAGGAGGCAGGAGGCCAGTCTGAAAACCCTAGCAAGCCCACAGTGTTTCAGGAGCAAGTTGTGGTCAACACGTCTGTGGGTTTATAGAGCAGGAGTTTAGTCTGGGTGGTAAAAAAAAAAAAGTGTATCACGCAGATTATACTAAGAGAAGGTACCTAATATAAGTTAATGTCACTGTAGCACTTTATATTTATGAAACACAGACATGAGGAAGGAGAGTATTTTTTTAAAATATTTTATTTATTGATTTTTTTACAGAGAGGAAGGGAGAGGGATAGAGAGCTAGAAACATCGATCAGCTGCCTCCTGCATACCCCCTACTGGGGATGTGCCCGCAACCCAGGTACATGCCCTTGACCAGAATCGAACCTGGGACCCTTCAGTCCGCAGGCTGACGCTCCATCCACTGAGCCAAACGGGCTAGGGCAGGAAGGAGAGTATTTTATGAAAGTGTACATTTCTTTGTTCTCGCTAATTTGGCTTTCAGATTCTCTGCTTTTCCTTCCTTTAAAAAAGAAGATATTCTTGGAAGCATGGCTTACAATGTTGCTTCATAAAATGGGTGCTGCCACTCTGAGCAGTTTAATGAAGGAATATATTATCTGTTTAATTTTTAATGAGAAATCATTCATTCATCAC